TTATTATTATATTAATAAAAAATATATAAAAATATTTTTATTATTTATACTTATATATTTTTATTTTTTATTATAAAAAATTAAAAAGAACAAAAAAACAATTTTCTTAATAAATTAATTTATCTTTCTTGATTAATATTTAGATAATTAGGTTTTATTATTATATTATATTATTTTCTTGTAAATTAAAATTAATTTAGAACTTACATTTATTTTAATTAAATTTCCTATTATTTCTATTATTTAAAACCTTTTCATAAAAAACCCTAAAAAATCTTTTTTTAAATTAATCTTTTCTTAATTAGTTTAGGTTATTTTATTTAAATTTTCATTAATTATTTTCTTAATTAGGTTTAGGTTATAAACCCTTTCATAAAAAAAATCAAACAAAACCATTTCTTTTCCATTTATCTCCTTGTATATTTATTTGGTACATTATTTATTTCAATTCTTGTACAAATTCAATATGGTTGTAATATATAATTAGGCTTTATTTTCTTGCAATCCCCATTTATAATTTGTACCCCCTCCCACAAGTATTGTAATAGCGTAGTAATTTTAAATTCCGCAATTTATCGCTTTATATACAAATGCTAGTAATTAGGGTTTGTATGGGAAGACTAAAACCAATCAATTAGAAAATCCTAATCAAAGACAAAACCAAGCATGAAAACAACACACTTTCACACAACACTACTACGAAAATGGGCTTTCACAGCGCTTTTTTTTGCCCTTTAAAAGCGCTGCCGTAGCCAGCGCTGGCGTAGGCTACGAAAGCGCTTTTTTCTGGCCAAAAGCGCTGTCGTAGGTGGACCTATCCCAGCGCTTTTTCCTTAAAAAGCGCTTTGAAAGGGGGGTCTTTCCCAGCGCTTTTTGAAAAGCGCTTTGATAGGTGTGCTATTTAAATTTTTTTTTTTATTTATCAGGCCTTTTACAGCGCTTTTTATGGAAAAAGCGCTTTGATAGGGGGGTCTTTCCCAGCGCTTTTTCCATAAAAAGCGCTTTGATAGGGGGTTTCTATTTAATTATTTTTTTTTATTTATCATGGCTTTTACAGCGCTTTATGGAAAAAGCGCTTTGATAGGGGGGTCTTTCACAGCGCTTTTTCCATAAAAAGCGCTTTGATAGGGGGTTTCTATTTAATTTTTTTTTTATTTATCCTGCCTACGAAAGCGCTTTTTAGCCAAAAGCGCTTTCGTAGCTCATACAAATTTTTTAAAGTGAAACCTATAATTTGAGGTTCCCTGTGCGGCCTGTAATTTTTTTTTGGTCCAATAATTTAACCTGTAATTCAATCCTTATCTATATATATATTTTAAGAAATCGGTATTATATTAACAGAAACCGATATACCATATAATATTCAATCCTTATCTATATATATGTAACTAAATCATATATAACTAAATTTGTAACCATATATACATTTGTAACCATAACTAAATCATATACAAAGTATCGTGTTAATTTGTAACCATATATATATACATATGTAACTAAATCATATATAATTACATCGAAAATAATGCTCCACCGACACGGTCGTCATCCTGCAAAGTATGAATATGAACAACACGGTAAATTAAACAAACAATATTAAAGGCTCCAACACAATCAAACTAACACGTACAATAATATTTTATTCATACCCATCAGAATAATCTGTTTTCAACATAAAATTGACATATTTCCTCTTTGACTTCTTCCACTTGAACTTTCGTGTACGACATAGTATAGAGGTCATCAAAGTACTACATAAGAAATTATTACTTCAGTATATGCATGATGTTATTAAATGTAGAAATCATACAAAATTATTCTAAGTTATAAATCCATACCGTGCTTGGAATCTCTACTTGATTTTTATGAAGGATTTCTTTCATAAACCTCAAGCAAAAGTATCCGCAATCTACATCGTTATTCTGTAACGGACACTGCATAGAAAAACAGAATATATTTTATAGTTGTCGTGTAATTTTATCAAGTAACATAACTATTATTATAAGCAACTAATTTTGTACCTGCACTTTGATCCAAGTAATATTTGATGATTTACTCCGGGGTACCTGTGCGTCCCTTTGACTACGAAATATTTGTATTGATCTAAGAAAATAAAAACATATATTTAGATCAATCTCACAGAAATAATTAAATATATAAATATACACGAATAGTTAGAACGATCTCACTTACTGATCAACAGTTTCCTTCATAGCGGGATAGTTAGTCCATTCCCCGTCTACCGAATTCAGAAAGTACACAACTTCTTTAATCGGATCGATAGCCAACAACAACCAGTGTTTTCTAAAAATTTAAGCAACAGTTTAGAAGAAAAGTTTCTACGCAAAATAAACAAAGATATATTAGAATAAATGAAAAACTCACCCCACTGGAACAGTGTTATACGGCAAAATAAACAAGCTATCTGGGTTGCCGACGTAGGCCGTGTATCGATTCACTAAGTACTCCCTAACTGAACCCGGTTCCCTGACAATTGTCGCTCCGCTGACAATATGGGCAGACAAGAAATGGAAGCGTCTTGCCAATACAGTCTCGCACATTTTTTTATCGTACAACAACCTTAAATAAAAACATATAAACATTAGACTATTTTCATTGAAATGTGTAAATAAATTGTTCAACTAATTAAATGATATATTTATCGGAATACCGGATGTATGCGTGAACATTGCCGATGCCTAATTCACCATGCGTCATAATCTCAGTCATTTCGTCCATTCCTATCGTTTCTTGGCAGTCAAGACCAAAGATATCTGCATCCATAAGGATTGTACGAATACCACCTGACTTCAAATCTGAGGTTTCCAAAAGTACTCCAAGTGTATTCCGATATCGAGGTACAAAAACGCCTCTTCCCCCGCCTCTTCCCCCCTTATGCATTGACTTTTTCGGGGGTGGTCTGCTACGAACAGGCTGGGTCACTTGTTGTGACACTTTCGCAGATACCTAACAATCATATAACTTAGGTAAATTATAAAATCGTTCAGTTTTAAATTCATATCATATAATAAACAATTTAAGTGTACCTCTGGAATTGATGCCATAGACTCGCCGCCTTGCTTCAAAATCTCCTTACCCTTATTAGCGGGTTTTGTAGGAGGCTAATATTAAAAAATAATTAACTTAACGGTTCAGAATTGACATTTGAAATCTAAATGATTCATATTAACGGTTTTAAACATACCTCATCATCAATGAAAATGAGGTCCAAGGGCCATGCAACAAACGACCCTACTGCGTCTCGCACCGATCTTATATATAAGGCCACGTCAGGTACCGGTACCAACGCATCGGGATCAATAGGATAATCTACTGATACTCTCAGGTGTCCAGCCGGGATCGGTACCAACTTTTATCCGACCATCCGTTGTCCGCCTTTAAGTTGTACAACTTTAACACCGCAGACAATCTTGTGAATTTTGTACAACCATCATACAACGGTTTCTCTGCATCGCTTACCAACCTCTCGAACATTTTGGGACAATCCTCAAGATCTTCTTCAAGCGCTTCTGCAATCTCTTCGACTCGATCATAATCGTATGCGTCTGCGAAATCCTCATTTGAAGCATACGTCGTATTATAACTCGATTCAACATTCCCGCTACTTTTCTCACCATGCAAATTCCAACATGCATAACTTCTATCAATTCCATGCATCAGTAAATGCGATTCCAACTGAACCGCGTCAACCCGTCTCCCATAACAGCATCTCAAGCAAGGACATATCATTCCATTGGGTTCTCTGGCGTGCGCAACGGCAAACTTAACGAATTCTGATACCCCATCCTCATACTCTTTCGACAATCGATTGGCAGTCATCCATTTTTTATCCATGGTTTGACTATAGCAACTAATTAGTCACGCAACTATAGCAAAATAATAATTAATTACCTGTAAAGAAATTCAACATATCAGGTAATCAAATTCATAGTTATTCTTGCCTCACCTTAAGCATGTGCTAAACAACTCATAACTAATTACTAACTAGTGAAGTCGGATATAAACAAAAACACAACTGCAGCTCATGAATTCCACTCAACTATAATCATTAGAAATTCACACTGAGCCGGAAAATAAAAGTAAAAACAATCAGTTATTCAAGTCAGTTCAAGAATAGGATAGAAACCTTTGAAAATGTTGAGAGCGTCCCGCGTACACTACGATCAAGGACAGTTCGAATTTCTTCAATCGGAGAAAGTTTCACAGCTTTTTCCTACCACAATCGATATTAAATCGTTGAACTATCCGCTGCATGATTTGAATGTAAACAACATGTTAAACTTAGGAGTAACTAAAAACAAAAAATTTTCATTGACAATATAGATCACATTCCCTTATTTGTTTCCACCATACTAGTGAAGCAAATGACGAACGGCAGCAACGCAAGGTTCTTTCAGCCACCTTTTTGTCCAACTGTTGTATAAGAAAAGTATGTTAATTAATTGGAATGTAAGCTTACTAGATAGATTTCTGTACATGTTGAAGAAGTTACCTCTAGTTCGTTTGCAATTATATCAACATCTGCTGCATTTATCTTAACAGCAGCTAATTCTTTCTCCCTGTGATTCAATCAAAATTCATACTAAGGTTCAGAGAGAGAAGAAAAACAAATCATAAATGCAGGATAAATGAGAGTGACAATGGAGCTTTCAATTTTTATATACATAATAAATTCCCGGGTCTTTTTAATTTCACTTATGTAAAAATTAAAACTTCAGAACTACACATATATTTTACTTGATATTTCTATTAGTAATACAAAAATTATATTTCAACATATACACCAGAACAACAGAAAAGATACAAAAGTAGAGTGCAAAGGAAAGGTAACACTAATATGTTCAGTCTTTACAAAATCAAGTAGAGGTAACACTAATAACCTCGAACTAATCTCTTATATTATGTCTATAAAAACTAATTATATATAGGGTTTTGTTGATGCTTATTTATTTATTTATTTATTTTTGCAGTTTTTGTCAATGAAACTTACTTCAGTGAATCCTATGTTCTATGACATGGCAACAGATCTAGACACTTTCATGGTTAGACCAGAGGTGAGGAACAAAATTAATTAACTTACGTTTAGTAATAAATTGGCTCATAATATATATTAATTATTAATAATGAAAGTAACTAACTTTGTTATATTTTGAATTATATCAGAAATTAAATAACTTAGCATCACCATCACCACTATCATCATCAGTGTCACATTGCAACAGTCCCAAACAAGGCACAGCTTTTGCTGATACAACCACCATGACTCCGACCAACATTTTCCAAACTACTAATGACTACAACCACCTTTTGGATACTTCAGCTTCCGTTTTTCTTCAAAGATAGAGATCAAACGTCGTCTCTGAGGTACAAAAACATAAACAACAAAAATGGTCTTAAAAATGTCTTTTAATAATTAGTTTTGTGATGAAAAAACTTCATTTTCAGGATGGTAGCCATTTTTGGGAGGTAGAAGATCAACGACAAAAGTTTCTTAATTCACATGGATTCAACAACAACTTATGTTCATTTTCATTAATTTAAAATTCATAGTGGTGCATGTCATGTTCTACAATTCTACCAACATGTTTGTAAGCTCTCAAATCATGTCTCTTATGTTTCATCTTATTATATTTATATAATTTAATTTAATAAAGCTTGGTTTTTTAAATGAGAATATCATTTTTTTTTGCAGGATTTAGATTTTACATTAGGTAAGGAAATTCCAGGAAGAATATGAATATGAGTATATATTAAAGGGCATGAAAATGAATGGATGAAGAACAAGAAAATGACAAAAAATGAAGCAGACCAAATAAAAGACCATATCTTTTCTAGATCTGTGTTTTATTCCAGTCTACTCAAAGTTCAGTCTACTCAGACAAAAATTCACATAACACCACTCAGGACAATTATCAAACACCTTAAAGGCAACACAATTAGGTACAAAAATGCATCCTATAGTTTTCAACACATAAACAACAGAGAAATGCACATTCCCCAAAATCCCCAAAAATCAAAACTTCTAAAAGAACCTAAAAACGGGGTTCGATTATTAGAGCAACACGAAGGTTGAAACTGTCACAAAAGCGTAAATAATATACGAAGAGAGAAGAATTTGATGAACTTACTTGATTGGAAGAAGAAAACGAAAATGAAGGTTGAGATCGAAAGAGAGAAAACGTGAGAGAGTGAGGATGCTTGAACAGTGATGCGCTCTCGGAGTTCAACGGTTTCTGGAGACCGACAACGACAACTACCTCCGCCAGCTTGAGTTCAGCGCTTTTTTCTGATAATGGGCATGTCAAAATAATTGAACCGGGCTTTGGATTATAATCAGACCCTATGCCAGCGCTTTTGAAAGCGCTTTCAAAGGCCAATCTTCCACAGCGCTTTTTAAAAAGCGCCTTCATAACCCTATTATTTCGTTTTTATTAATATTTTTATTTGACCTACCACAGCGCTTTTAATGTAAAAAGCGCTTTCGTATCCCCCACCTATGCCAGCGCTTTTAAAAAAGCGCCTTCGTAGGTTTCCCTTTTTTTTAATTTTGTTTTTTGTGAAGGCTATGGCAGCGCTTTTTCAATAAGCGCTTTCGTATCCCCCACCTATGCCAGCGCTTTTAAAAAAGCGCCTTCGTAGGTTTCCCTTTTTTTTAATTTTGTTTTTTGTGAAGGCTATGGCAGCGCTTTTTCAATAAGCGCTTTCGTATCCCCCACCTATGCCAGCGCTTTTAAAAAAGCGCCTTCGTAGGTTTCCCTTTTTTTTAATTTTGTTTTTTGTGAAGGCTATGGCAGCGCTTTTTCAATAAGCGCTTTAGTAGAGGCGCTGGCAAAAGCAATTTTTGGCGTAGTGCAAACACCCCTAGGGTAAAATCCACTTGGTTTCCTTACTAAATGGCCATATTACGCATGTGAGGTATCTTAGCAAAAACAAGCAAAATACAAGATCATAGTCCCTCGATGACGCTATCTAAGTTGCCTTTCATTTGATCTTAGTCCCTAAAGAATAATACTAAGATACCTTGCAACATTGCTAATCATGGTTATACGATAACCCACGCCCGTCCCGTTTAAATCCAAATATAGGGTTACTTACGAAATCAATGGTAAGATAACAATGTCAAAGGAAAAAGGAAATGAACATGAAAGACTTTTGAGTAGGTGGATTTCTCCTAATTACTCGCTCAATTTCAAACAGAACATCCTTGCTATTTTCAAAACAAACACATACACTTTTCAACATCTTACAAACTTGAAAATATTCTCAAATAATCAAACACTTTGCATACATTCTTACGAACGAGAATCATTACAAAGTTTGCCTAAACAATGGCTTATTTACAAAATACTTTCAAAAACCACACAAAGCACAATTTCAAACAAAAGCAAGTCATCTAGCAAGTAACTAAGAGCCCATGGAAAACCATGGATGAAAATGGTGCTAATACCTTCCCTTTTCATAATCTACCCCCCGAACTCAAGAAACAATCTCAAAGGTCTTTCCTGTGCTTTTTCACCCTTCCTTTTGGATAAAAGAAAAATCGATGGCGACTCTTGCTAACCGCAACATTTGCGATCAAACGCAAAACCTTCAAGTCAGTTCTCCCACCGTATCACAGAACTGGCGACTCTGCTGGGGACAATTCTAAAAGTGGGGTTACCTTAGGTTTAGATCACATTTACTTTCTTTTATTATTTGACTTGTTTTCTTTATATTATGGTTCTTTGTTTGGGTTTGAATCCTCTACTCGGATTTGGGATACCTTATAGGTAAGTAACAATACGTTGTGGAAATTGTGCAGGGTATACCGACATGGTCTAAGCAATAGCTACGTTAGTGCGACATATTTGTGGGTACCGGTAGCCCTTGAGTTAATCAAGGACAATACGGGGCCGCTGAGTGATGTCATGAAGCACTAATGAACTTTTAGAACCTTTACTTTACCAACTTGGCCTTTAGGACGTAGTGAGATGACCGGCTTTGGTGCAGTCCGAAGTTGGTAGATACTCGATACTACTCTCATTGAGGTTTAGTTTTTTGGGATATTTTGGTCGCCATTAAAGAGGCTTGTGCTGAAACAATTCCCAAGGAAACAAATCAGTGATATTGAGCTCCTTAGAACCCGATTACTATTGCTAGGACAGGTTTGAGTCAACTAAACTTCAAGAGGGTACTTACCTATGAGACTCCATGCAAGCCTAAACCTAAGGACTTGTTTGTTTTGTTTGTATATATTTACTTGTACATAAAATCATGAACATCATAACATCATACTCATTCAATAACCATTTCAAGGATATTAGGATTTATCTTTGTTCTATTTTGTAGGACATGGATTCTATTTGCAGGAAAACTATTCAAGTCAATTTTGTAAGGATCCCTCCTCAACTTAAAGAGCTAGCGTTAAGGATTCTTGAAAACTCTCCATTCACCGAAAGACATGGTTGCCTACTAAACTTGGTCACCTCCAACACTGATGAAGACATGATGAAGGTGCTCTTTCAGTTCTTTGATCCCTTACACCATTGCTTCACATTTCCCGATTATCAACTTGTGCCAACTTTGGAAGAATTCTCCCAACTCTTGAGGATTCCCATTCTCAATCAACTACCTTTCAATGGTACAGAAAGAGATCCCAAGCCGGAAGATATTGCTCAAGCTCTACACTTGCAATCATCTTATGTCACAACCAATTAGGAAACAAGGAGTGGTGTCATGGGTTTCCCAGCAAAGTTCTTGTTTGAGAAAGCCCGAAATTGTTGGAACTCTTTGGATTTGAAAGCTTTTGAGGAAATTGTGGCTCTCCTCATCTATGGGATGGTTTTATTTCCAAATCCTGAACAACTCATAGATGTGAACGCCGTCAAGATCTTCATGTCTCGTAACCCGGTGCCTACTTTGCTAGGGGATATTATACATTCTTTTCACACTCGCACGATGAGGAAAAGAGGTGTCCTTATGTGTTGCACTCCTCTCTTGGCAAGATGGTTTATTTCGCATCTTCCCCAATATGTATTGATGAACGAGCAAGGTTCAAGGTGGTCACATAGGTTGATGATGCTCAAACATTCAGACATTCATTGGGGTTCCCGATCCATAGAGAATGTTACTATTGTCGACCGTTATGGAGAATTACCTAATGTCCCTTTACTTGACATTAGGGGAGGTATCACCTACAACCCCTGCTTAGCCTTAAGACAGTTTGGTTACACCAGAATAGATGGCCCTCATGAGATGCTCATCTAAGGTTTGGTTTTTGACTACGAGAACGACAATCAAGGTCTTCGCCAGAGATTCATCCGAGCTTGGAGGATGTTGAACAAGGTAGATAGAAATACATTGGGGCACAAGAATTCCATCCCTCTTGAGCCTTACCTCAAATGGGTACTGTTGTACCCCAAAATTTTCCCTCTTATATTTCTCAAAATATGTCAAGAAAGATCTCCAAGTTGCTTAAGGTAGCTCAAGGATTGGCCATATAAGCTCTCTCCTAAGACAGTCTACCCCAAATTAGGGTTTCATGTTTCATCAAGATCCTTGAGTCCAAGTAGTCCCAAATGCTCAACATTGTCCTAATATGTTCTCAAGATCATCTATGTCAAGTTTCAAGCCTTGCATAGGAATTTTGCTCAGTCAATTGCTCAAAGGTCCAAAAATCGACTATGCTAGGGCAAAAGTCAATTGTGACCTACATACAGTCAAACTTCAAGGTTTTTTGTCAAAATCCTCATTTTGAAGTATATTTCATCATTTGATCAAGGGTTGATCATGATTCATCAAGGATTTCTCATAATTCATCAAGATTCAAAAATTGCTAAATTAGGGTTTTACAGGAAAAGTCAACCCAACTATGACCAATCATAACTTTCTCATACTTTATGAGAAATGAACCATCGAAAGCTCATTTTGAAGAGGATTCAATTCCCTACAATCCATTTTCAGCTCCCAAGATAAAAATATGCACACACAAGAAGTTATGAATTTGGAAATTATAGGTCATTTTGAAAAGTCAACAAAAACACCTTTTTTGTCAAAGCTTCATACATGAGCATGGAATATCAAAATGAGATAAAACCAAAAGGTTTGATTAGAGGACATCTCAAGATTTCTTAAAAGTCCAATAACACCTCCAAATGTTCAAAATTGAGGAAGTTATGCATTGTTGAAGTTGGACTTTTTTGCAAAATTGTCAAAAGTCAACTATGCCCAAAACATCAAATTTTGCCAAATGGGTCCATTCTTTTTCACTTGTTTTGAGTTGGCATTATAGCCCACGTGCTCTAGCCTTGGCCATGTGTCCATATCATATTTTTATTAATTGTTTTGATTTTTATTTGAATTAA